GCTGCTGCTGCCCGAGGCGGACGGACCCGGGCCCCGCACAGGTGAGGCCGTGGCCACTCCGTCCCTGCCTCCAGCGTCTCCCCTCTCCAGCCCGGGTTCTCTTTCCATCGCTCACCTTTCACCCCCTCCCCCATCTCCTCGAGTCCCCTCCCCTTTCCGCGCCCTGTCCTTCCCTCCATCTGAACCCTGCCCCCGCCTCTCCCAGAACTGCGGGGAAGGTGGGGCGCACGACGTGCCCTCCGCGAGCCAGAAAGGACATGGGGGCTTAAGCCCTTGGCCTCCGACCCAGGGATCGTGGGGCTCGCATCCCGCCCGCTGCATCCCGTTGTCCGCACCGAGCTGCCAGCCTGCCGGGGCTGGGCCACTCTGGACAGAGGCAGTGGGTTCTGGAGGCGGGGTGTCCGGCCGATACCCCCAATACGATCAGGTGACCACCGGGAGGGTCCTCAGCTGCACCAGGCCTGTCCTGGGCTGGCGACTGGTCATGGCTCTGGAGGGAGGAGCAGGACTGGCTGGAGCCTGGGAAGCCTGGATGGAGGGCCAGGTTGTGAAAGAAAGGCTAAGTTGGGTCTGGAAAGTGAAAGGCCTTGGGGGAGGTGGCCTGATTAGCAATGGCCCCGGTGTGCAGACCACCTGTCCTTAGGCTGGGTCAACAAATGCTGGTGGAGGCTGATGGGGTCTACCAGGGCCTAGAAAGAGCCCAGCCTGCACAGTCCTGGCGTGGAGGTCAGCCATGTGTGGGTAGGGCCAAGGGCACCTTGCTGTGGGCAAGAAGTCACCCAGAGATGGGACCAGTGCTGGGGCCTGGGGCCTGGTTTGGGGTGACATAGGCTGCTGCCTCTGCTCTAGGTGGGAGGCAGGGAGTGCAGGCCCGGACTTCCCAGCCCCAGGGTCTTGTGCTGGCTCTGTTCTGGCTTGCTTGGTGACCTTGAATGAGTTATAAAAACCTTTGGCCTTTGATTTCTGTTCCATCCCAACAGTTCAGCCGTTCCCCTGCCCTGGGGGCCACACCAGGGACCAGAACCAAGAGCCCAGCTTCAGGGCACCCAGTGATGCCCCACCAGCCACGCCCACTCCTGGTGTTGAGTGTCAGGCATGCAGAAACCCAAAGGACCCCTTGTCTCAGGACGCCCTGGCTGTCCCATTACCCCAGCAGCAAAGCCCTCGGGGGACGAGTTTTGGCTGGTGGCTCAGGGTTCAGGGCTCTGATGCTGCTGAGGGGAGCTGGAGCAGCCTGGCAAGAGGGCCCCCCTTCTTTAAGCTTCACCTCTAATCCTGGCTCTGTTTTGCAGATGAGAAAACTGAGGTGCAGGAGATATCCTGGTCACTAGTGAGTTCAGTAGAGCAGGAGCCACTGGGCAGGCATCTGCAGCCTGGAGAGCTGGTCCCTGTGTGCCACCCCTCCCCCACCCTGGGCAAGACCTGGCCTGGACTCTGAAGGGCCTTCATTGGATGCTTCAAACAGAGGTGCCTTTGGCCTAGGTCCAAGTGAGGGAGTGGACATAATGGAGACATTTAAAATGAGGCTTATGAGCATTTAGAGCACACAGAAAAATGCTTATGAGATTAGGTTGGGTGAAAACAGCTAGACTCAAAACTGAATGTGCAATGTGATCTCGCCTGTGATAAAATACAGGCCAGTAAGACTCCAGGAGGCAGAAAACCATAGCGGTGTGGTGTGCCGCAACCTCGGAGGGGTTTTATTCCATCTTCCTGAGTCCCCTTTCCGACCCATGGCTGCTACTTCCTATGTGCATGGACTCCTTTCTCAGCTGGAGGTGTGTTAGCGCACAGACGTTTACTGAGTACCATGGCCTCCTCATACTGAAGCCTGCCCAGGGGGTTGGCGGAGTGCACCATGGGACCCAGAGAAGGCCCACAGGGCAGGGTGGGAACTCCCAGCACCCGGGAAGGAACTGGTGGTCACCCATGAGGTGGCTGCCACCAAAGAGAGGACTTGGCCAGAGGCTGCTGTTGGCCCTCTGAAGCTGTCCCGTGCTCTTGCTGGGCTCCACAGTCCCCCGTTCCTGCCCACCACTGCCCTTGTAGCCAGATGCTCCAACAAAGCCTCCGAGGGACACTTCATCTCTGTTCTCCAGAAACTTGGCTGCGTGTGGTGGCCCCTGGATTCCCCATCTCCCTGGCCGCAGGAGGGGAGCAGGGTCAGAGGGGTCTGGTGAAACCCTGATATGTTGGCCTGAAGTGTAGGTAGCAAGGACAGCAGAGAGAGGAGGCACAGCGAGGCATGAAGCCTGGAACGTTCGAGCTGCGCACGTCGTGCTGGTGCCCCCTGCCTCATGTGGCGCATCTATTGGGAGGTCATGGGACGGGGCTGGCGCTGCCTGGCAGATTCCCACCGCCAGCCCCTCCCGCTGAGCCCAGCTGAACCACACTGATTCTGTGGAATGAAAACTGCAATCCAGTCTCTTCAGAGAGGCTGAAATGCTAGTTCTTTGCTGAGCTGTCCTTGAGGAAAGCCGCTGAGCAGGTCTGTTCATGACTCCCAGCAGCACTTCCCTCAAAACCCCTCTCTAGGAAACTGCTAGTAGCTGCTCTCTGCTGTCAAAACTCTTGGAAGTTCTCCCTCAAACGCAGCGCGCGCAGCATCTTCTCTTTTCTCTCCTGCCTTCCTGGGTCTGCCTTCCTCTGGGCCCTGTGCAGCGGAAATTCATCTCCCCAGGCCTGGCCCTTGCCTGGGAGATGCATCCAGGGGCACCTCACGATCTTCTCTATCTCCACAGATCTGTCCTGCGATGCAGCTGCTGCCACCACCATCCTGGGAGGGGACCGGCGGGAGCCCTGTGCTCTGACCCCAGGGCCCAGCCACCTGGCCCTCACGTTCCTGCCCAGCAAGCCGGGTGCCCGGCCCCAGCCTGAGGGAGCCAGCTGGGATGCAGGGCCTGGTGGGGCACCCTCAGCCTGGGCAAATCCAGGGGAGGGCGGCCCGAGTCCCATGCTTCTCCCTGAGGGCCTGTCTTCCCAGGCTCTGTCGACCGAGGCTCCTCTCCCGGCCACCCTGGAGCCCCGGATTGTGATGGGAGAGGAGACGTGCCAAGCCCTCCTGTCACCCAGGGCTGCCCGGACAGCGCTCAGGGACCGGGAGGGTGGGCATGCAAGCCCAGACCCACCCCCCGAGTTGTGTTCTCAGGGTGATCTTTCTGTGCCTTCCCCTCCCCCAGACCCTGATTCCTTCTTTACACCTCCCTCCACCCCCACCAAGACCACCTATGCCCTGCTTCCCGGCTGTGGGCCCCTTGGAGATGCGGGGGACTCAGAGGCTGAGCTGTGGGATGAGCTGCTGGACTCGCCCCCGCCCTCACCCTCGGGCTCCTACATTACGGCCGATGGGGACAGCTGGGCCTCTTCACCCTCCTGTTCCCTCAGCCTGCTGGCTCCAGCTGAAGGGCTGGACTTCCCCTCAGGCTGGGGCCTGTCCCCCCAGGGGTCCATGGCGGATGAACGAGAGCTGCACCCTGCCGGAACCCCAGAGCCCCCCTCCTCTGAGTCCAGCCTCTCTGCAGACAGCAGCTCCTCCTGGGGCCAGGAGAGCCACTTCTTTGACCTGGACTTCCTGGCCAATGACCCGATGATCCCTGCAGCCCTCCTACCCTTCCAGGGCAGCCTCATCTTCCAGGTGGAGGCAGTGGAGGTGACACCGCTATCCCCAGAGGAGGAAGAGGAGGCTGTGGCGGATCCCGACCCAGGTGGGGACCTGGCTGGGGAGGGTGAGGAGGACAGCACGTCCGCCTCCTTCCTGCAGTCGCTGTCTGACCTGTCCATCACGGAGGGCATGGATGAGGCCTTTGCCTTCCGAGACGACACCTCTGCAGCCTCCTCTGATTCGGACTCAGCCTCCTACGCAGAGGCAGATGACGAGAGGCTGTACAGCGGGGAGCCCCATGCCCAGGCCACCCTCCTCCAGGACAGTGTCCAGAAGACAGAGGAGGAGAGCGGAGGTGGGGCCAAGGGGCTACAGGTTCAGGAAGGGACTATGTCCTGGGCCCTGGAGGCTGCGCCTCAGACCTCAGCCAGAGGGGCCCCTCTCTCCCAGAGACAGGAATCGATCTCAGAAGTAACAGAAGAGGGCCTTGCTTTAGGCCAGGAGTCCACTGCCACTGTGACCCCTCACACTCTGCAGGTAGCCCCAGGCCTCCAGGTGGAGGCGGCTACCAGGGTGACCCCTCAGGCTGGGGAGGAAAAAGCGGACTCCACCACTGGACAAGCATCTGCTGCCATGGCAATGCCTCAGCCCTCCCAGGAGGGCATCAGCGAGATCTTAGGCCAAGAGTCTGTCACTGCAGAAAAACTTCCAACTCCACAGGAAGAAACAAGCCTCACATTGTGTCCAGACTCTCCTCAGAACTTGAAGGAAGAAGGAGGGCTGGACCTCCCCTCTGGCCCGAAGCCTGTAGCTGCAGCCTCACTTATGCCCCAGCAGGCTGAAGAGGATCTCACCTTACCCCAGGACCCCGCTGTGACACCACCTCTGCCCCTACAAGACACAGATCTCTCGTCAGCCCCGAAGCCTGTGGCTGCAGCCTCGCTTGTGCCCCAGCAGGCTGAAGAGGACCTCACCTTACCCCAGGACCCCGCTGTGACACCACCTCTGCCTCTGCAAGACACAGATCTCTCATCAGCCCCAAAGCCTGTAGGTGCAGCCTCGCTTGTGCCCCAGCAGGCTGAAGAGGACCCCACCTTACCCCAGGACCCCGCTGTGACACCACCTCTGCCCCTGCAAGACACAGATCTCTCGTCAGCCCCGAAGCCTGTGGCTGCAGCCACAACTGTCCCCAGGCAGGCTGAAGAGGATCTCACCTTACCCCAGGGCCCCGCTGTGACACCACCTCTGCCCCTACAAGACACAGATCTCTCGTCAGCCCCAAAGCCTGTAGGTGCAGCCTCGCTTGTGCCCCAGCAGGCTGAAGAGGACCTCACCTTACCCCAGGACCCCGCTGTGACACCACCTCTGCCTCTGCAAGACATGGATCTCTCGTCAGCCCCGAAGCCTGTAGATGCAGCCTCGCTTGTGCCCCAGCAGGCTGAAGAGGACCCCACCTTACCCCAGGACTCTGCTATGACACCACCTCTGCCTCTGCAAGACACAGGCCCCACCTCAGGTCCAGAGCCTCTGGCTGTGGCCACCCCTCAGACCTTGCAGGCAGAAGCAGGCTGCACCCCAGGGACAGAGCCTGTGGCCACCATGGCTCAGCAGGAAGTAGGTGCGGCCTTAGGCCCCAGGCCAGCACCTGAGGAGAAGAATGTAGCCCTCTCTAGAGTACCGGAGCCTGCAGCCTTGGACCAGGTCCAACAGGATGACCCACAGCCAGCTGCAGAAGCTGGGACACCTTGGGCCGCACAGGAAGATGCGGATTCGACTTTGGGCATGGAGGCCCTCTGTCTCCCTGAGCCTGCCTCTGGTGCTGGGGAGGAAGTAGCAGAAGCCCTTTCTAGGCCTGGATGGGAAGCATGTCTGGAAGCCCTAGTGCACACAAGTGATGGGGCTAAGCCTGACTCACCCCAAAAGAAGACCCTGGAGGTTGAGAACCAGCAGGGAGGAGGCCTCAAGTCACCGGCACAGGAACATGGACCCGGGTCAACACTTGGAGGTGCAGGGGAGGTCCCCGAGGCACCTCCTGCTGCCTGCCCTGAGGTCAGCCAGGCCTGGCTCCTGAGCCCAGCCAGGGAAGGAAGAGGCCTGAGTGGCAAGTCCACACTGGAGCCCACGCTTCCCTCAGCTGTGGCCACAGAGGCCAGTCTGGACTCCTGCCCAGAATCTTCAGTAGGGGCTGTGTCCAGGCTGGACAGAGGCTGCCCTGACGCACCTGCCCCCACATCTGCACCAACCCCCCAGCAGGTCTCTTATACACATCTAGATGTGTATAAGAGACAGGGCCTTTGCCTTCCGAGACGACACCTCTGCAGCCTCCTCTGATTCGGACTCAGCCTCCTACGCAGAGGCAGATGACGAGAGGCTGTACAGCGGGG